GCACTCAGTCATGAGAAATAATACAGAGGGGTCTCCTGGCAACACTTCGGAAAATTGTAGTCCAATATCACAAGCAGGATACTGACATTTGATACAATCCACCAACCTTATTCAGATTTCCCACATTTTACTTGTTCTTCATTGCATGTGTGCGTATTAAGTTCTATACAATTTTATCGCCTGTGTAGATTTGCATATCCATTGACACAGTCAAAATACTGAACAGTTCCAACACCACCAGGATCCCTCAGGTTGCCCTTTCATATTCCTATTCACCTCTTTCCTCCCCAGTCCCCACCTCTAACCCTTGGAAACCACTAATGTAGCCTCCATTTCTAAAATCATTTCAAAATGTTCTATAAATGGAACCCTATAATGTATCATCTTTTGGGATTAGAATTTTTCACTCAACCTAATTCCTTAGAGATTTATCCAAGTTGAGCTTTTTGTATGTCAATCAGACCACAATGCAGTGGTTTTAAAAACAAAATTGCCACTTAGTTCATGCTTGTTCACTGGATAAATATATAATTTAATGATTGAATATGGATAATGCCCTAATGCCCTGCTTTTTTCCAAAAATATTTGGTTTAGACACCTTTTGACACCAGTTTTCTAGAATATCCCATGCTTCCTGATTTCACGTGAATTGAAAATACTTAAAGAATACAATTTCTTCCATCCCCGTGACACCTCAGTACTTAAACACACCAGGATAAAAACAAACACTTCTGTGGAAAGAAGAATTACTTTGCAGCTCCTACATAAAATCTTGGATGAAACTCAACTGGCTGAGATGTAGCAGAGACAGCACAAGTAGGCGGCAGAGAAGATCTCAGATAAGGAATCCCAGAGTTCACCCTTACAAACCAGGGTTCTCAACCCTAGCTACATAGGAGAGTCAGCTGGTGAACGGTTCCAAAACGTTGATGCTGGGGCCCCACAAAAGATCGACAAAATCATAATCTTCAGGTGTGGTTTCATTAAATCCAGAACTGATATTCAGCCAAAATGATTGTTCCCACTTGGCACCCAGCATTCATTATGATTGGACAGTGCCCAGGTCTTATTAGTTTCTAAACATTTTGAATATCACTTCAAATTATATAACACATTACATGATATCCTGAAATTTAATGGATTATTTGACCCTGATTCTGAAATTATATCACAAAATTAAAATAGAATTCTAGGGCCTGGCCCAGTGGTGCAGCAGTTAAGTTCACACGTTCTGCTTTGGTGGCCCGGGGTTCGCCGGTTCGGATCCCAGGTGTGGACATGGCACCGCTTGGCACGCCATGCTGTGGTAGGTGTCCCACATATAAAGTAGAGGAAGATGGGCATGGATGTTAGCTCAGGGTCAGTCTTCCTCAGCAAGAAGAGGAGGATTGGCAGCACATGTTAGCTCAGGACTAATCTTCCTCAAAAAAAAAAAAATATATAGAATTCTGATGTCTTTGGTAAACAACAGAACAGGTAACACGAACCATAAAGTCCCCTCTATAATCCATATAACCTACTCACTCCAAAAGTCCACTTCCAAATCACCAAAAATAGTTGAATTTGTAGACAAAATCCCAGTATTTCTTCCTAGTCTCTTTTCATGTATTCATTGGTAAACAAATATTTATGGAGAATTTGTTTGTGCCAGCTCTCTTCAATACATTCTTTAGTGTAGTCTAATGAAACTCCTTTAAGAAGTTTCGACAGACATTGCTGATTGCCGTCCAATATCCTTCTGCCACTCTTTCTTACTAACAGAACTTTAGTTTATTTTGGGGTGGCAGTATGTCCAACTAAAGTCTCAATTTCCTAGGCTAGATGCCCTTGAAGCTAAAGATAGCCGTGTAACATAGTTATGGTCAATGACATGGAAATAGGACACCAGGTTGAAGTCCAGAAAGACCATTGTCTTCTAATAAAATATTGACCAGACTTATCTTGTGTGCACCTTGTTACCCATCACTTGTCCCCATTATTCTTGCCCTCAATGCAGACAGCGTGAACAGAAGCATAGCAGCCACCTTGTGACCACGGGTTATGCACTATGGAGGATGGAACAGGAACCTAGAAGAAGCCTGGTTTCTTAAGCACCTTCACTAGACTTATTAAGCACCTATTTGTTTAGGATTCTGTTATAGGCAACCAAATACAATTATGACTTGCAGAGGAATTTAAATCACCCAAGACAAGTAACTTCGGCATAAAATTATGTGAGCTCTTTGCCCAGTTTCCGTAAATTTAGTTCCTCAACCATCTAACATAACTTACCCTACTTTTGCAATTATTATCTTCCCTTATCTCAATCTTTTATCACATCACTGTCCACCTGCTGTTCATATTCCCACCTTACTCCTATAGCTTGATATATGATATGATTTTTCCTAGTTATCCTTTCTTCATTTCTCTTTAATTATAGACATTTGTTCACAGGCCTTAGGATAAAATTCTGCATCGACCAAATACTTACACACTCTCCTAGCAGACTGCACCCAACCCTTTTGACACCAGGATTGAGATACCACCGTCTGGCCATAATGAATTGTTTGCTGTTTCACAAACACATTGCATTCTCCTATGCCTACCTCTCTCTGACAGGTCATTCCTTCTGGCATGGACTGAATACTGCCCCTCCTTTATCTAATTAGTTAATTCCTTGTCTTACGTTAAGTCCTCAAACAAGCTGTCTCCCCCAGTGAAAGCTAAGTGTTTTTTCTTTTGTGCTCTCGTGGAGTTTCCTATGTATCTTTAACTTGGATTGCAATTACTTGTTTACACGGCCATCTATCTACTATACCATGAAAACTTTGAGGACAAGAACAGTGTCTTAATATTGGTGCTCTCCCCTTCCCATCCAGCACATACTAAGCACTCAATAAATATTTGTTAAATGAACGTTAACTCTCAGTTATCCACACCTAAAGGAAACCAAAATGCAGATTAAACCTTCGTAAAAGAATATCACTCCAAACCCCAAGAGCCAAGTAATTCTATTTGTCTCCATGGAGTTTTGGGTAGAGGTCCAAACCTCTTGAACTTCTCCTGAGGCCTGTATTTATCCATCTTTGATATTTTGTGCATACATTTTAGCCAGAATGTACATACAACTGCGGATATATTCAGACACACAACACATAATCTCTTCTGGTTATAGGGGAGAAAAGGGTTTTCCTGATAAACACCTACATTTCCCAATTTTGGGGGCACTACCCTAGGTATCTAAGTTAGGGGTCCTCGAGAGGCAGGTCCTGAAGCATGTAGTTTTATTTGGGGGCGTCCCAGGAAACACTGGAGGGGAGTGAGCAGTGAGATAGGAAAAATGGTGCATTATCCAGCAAGTTACCACGTGGGCATCTGGGGCCCAGCCCTGCTGGGCAACTTTGGAAAACAGTGTGACACCTGACCAGAACTGCACCCTCCACTGGGGGAAGCTCAAGTATTTCATCTCCAGCTCCCATCATCATCACCTGAGGGCTGCTTCCAGAGATAATAATGTGTTGGCACTTCCAGCCTGCTCACACCTGGGCTGAGAGAAAGCCCTCAAGTAAAAGTTGCAGGTTTTTGCAGAAGAAAGCCCGGGGCATGAACTGTAAAAGTGAGTGCCAAGGAATATGGGTAGGGCAGTGATAGCATCTGCCCTGTTAGGTAAGCTAGACTATAGATAAAATAGCATGTTCTCTAATCACGTTCCAAATGTTCCCAATGATCAAAGGTATTTTTTTACATGTTGTGATTTGGACTGTAGAACAATACTTAAGCAAGGATTTTAAGTATAGAAGTAAAGAAATTTAAGTAAAGGATTGATTGAAGAAGGACTGTACTGAGACTGCGTCACTGGGAAGAATGTCCTGGAAGAAAGGGTTGAGGAAGTTCAGAATGAATAGGAGGTGTCAGTGTAAGGCCATCATCAAATTCTTGAATGACTGCCATTCTGCAGACAGATCTTCATGGTCTCAAAATAAAGAACAAGGACTGAATGTACATGTAGGCAGAGTTTAGATACCTTCGGTTTGAGTGCGCAGTGTCCCCCACCCGTGTTTCCCACTCCCATTGCCAGATGTACCCCACAATGTGCTGACCTCCATTAATGCCCAGATTGGGGAAAGTCCTGTCCTCTTGATTCTAATGCTCATCTGGAACACACACCTTCTAGCCCCAAGACAAACATTCCCAGCTCCCACCTACCCACCCACACGCAGAGGCCAGCTCTTTCCATTGTGGAATTTTTTCTCCGGAGGTATTGTTGCCATGTTCTGCCCCTAAGTCTTGATCTAAGCCATTTGAAAACGTATTAAAAAAAAAAAATTCCCCTATTTTGGAATCTCAAGAAGAAGCTGTCGGATATCCTAGACCTCCTTTCTTTCAGAAGGCCCCTAAACTAGCTTTGTACCAAATCGACATCAAGGAAAGAGGAGATTTCAGTCAATCGTGGAGGGTGAAATGGGGGTGGTGACGGGTTTCCTGTTACCCTCTTTCTCATGGAACATTTTTTGGAATGGTTATTGCCATCCTGATTACTTGCTTTTCTAAATATGCTTCTAACAAACCAGAATGACTGCTTCTGTTTCTATCCCTGGAGGGTTTCAAATTGAGATTAGATAACACTTGACAGGAATGTTCTAGAAATGATTTATACATCATAGAGGTTGAACCAAATGACTGATAATCCTGCCTTTCAGTTTGGAGATTACATCTTTCTACGAGAATTTTCCAGCTTGTGAAAAACTTATTTTCTTTGAGGGAATTATCTCCGCCTCAAATTTTATGGGCAATACTTCCATTAGGCCAAAATAGTACTTTCTCATCACAACATTTTGTAAAACTAAGATATCCAGGGGGAAGTGGTGCCTCATTATCTGAGCTCATTATCTTAGTACTGGCCTCAGCATCAGCCTCTGAAACACTTGTGTGATTTTGCTGGGGGCTGGCAGATGGGCTGATAAGCAAGTGCCCAGCCGCTGTCGCAATTCTGATAAAGGAAGACTGGCCCACATACTCACACAGCAGACTCTTGACAGCAGGGATCGCAGAGCAGAGAACATTGCATCTGCCTTTCAAACTGCCACGGGCTGAAAACAAGAAAGTGGAACAGAGTGGTACGCAACATGTTAACCAAATGCCCGGGTGAAATATATCAAATGCATTAAATTAATTACAGCACACATCTTTTAAAGAAAATGAAAGACACAAGGAAAGAGAAACTGACAGAGACCAAAAAAGACAGAGAGCGAGCAAGAGAGCAAAAGTCAGTTGTTTTGGAAAAAATAGGCTATGGTAGTTTTACTGAATTGAATCCATCTTGTTTCAAGTGTTCATAGACTCAGGCTTCATGTTGCTAATGCGAAGCCTATTCCTGGATCTTGAGAAATAAATTCAAACCACTCAGAGTTTAGGCATGTTGTAGAAAGGCTATGATTTGTGTCTAAATAATACCAAAGGCTCCTGATACTAGTCTCTATTCACTACTGAAATAATGACGTACTACATTTATATCTCAGCAGCCATCTTCCCATCTATATCCACATTTAGTTCAAAGAACAGCTTAAACCAAACTTGCACAGTGATTTCCCTGTCCTGGCTTCTGTACTTGGTAAACAACAATAGAAAGTATAGAACTAAAAAAACCTAGTCTGCTGTACAATCTTTTATAAGTCAGATCATTCTGCCAATCAGCTCTTAAGCATATCTAAAATAACATGACACTAATATTTCAAAACAAGCAGTCTGATGCAACACTCAGGATCGTCTAAAACTGCTCCCAAGACTCTCTTGGGGTTCCCTGAGCGATGAACTATCTGAGACTTTGGGCCATCAGCAGTAGAGAATGAGCCCAAACTCAGCTTTCTAAGTGACTGGGGACCTTCCTCCTCTTGGCAGGAGGAGCTACACCCAAGCTCTTCCAGCACGAGGCAGCTGGCTCTCCGGGAGAACACTTATAAACAACCAACACCTAAACCCTGCTTGCCTAGCACCCAAGTGAACTATAGGTGCCCCACACTGGCGAGGCTGCTCTCACTTTTCACACTTGTCCTTCAAAGAGAACAAGACAGAGTGGGGCAGCATCTCTTCCTGGCAACATATCCTCAGGGCAGGTCCAGCAGAGCTCCTTGCCCTCACCAGGCTCTTTCAGGGAATAATGAAAGAGAGATTGATGTGGACACCTCAGAAATGCAAAAGATTATAAGAGAATACCATGAAAAGCTGTTTGTCAACAAATGGGATAATCGAGAAGAAATGGATAAATTCTTAGAATCATACAACCTTCCAAAACTGAATCAAGAAGAAATAGAGGATTTGAACACAGCAATCACCAGTGAAGAGATCAAAACAGTAATCAAAAACATCCCAAAAAATAAAAACCCAAGCCCAGATGGCTTCCCTGGTGAGTTCTACCAAACAGTCAAAGAAGACTTAACACCTATCCTTCTCAAACTCTTCCAAAAAATTGAAGAGGAGGGGAAGCTTCTTAACTCATTCTACAAAGCCAACATTACCCTGATACCAAAACTAGACAAGGACAACACAAAAAGAGAAAATTACAGGACAATTTCATTCATGAATATCAGTGCAAAAATCCTCAACAAAATATTAGCAAATTGAATACAACAATACATTAAAAAGATCATACACCACAATCAAGTGGGATTTATTCCAGGGATGCAGGGATGGTTCACCATCTGCAAATCAATCAATGTGATGCACCATGTTAACAAAATGAAGAATAAAAATCACATGATCATCTCAATAGATGCAGAGAAAGCAATTGATAAGAGACAGCATCCATTTATAATAAAAACTCTGAATAAAATGGATATAGAAGGAAAGTACTTCAACAAAATAAAGGCCACATATGATAAACCCACAGTTAATATCATTCTCAATGGAGAAAAACTGAAAGCTACCTCTCTAAGAACAGGAACCAGATGAGGATGCCCACTTTCACCACTTTTATTTCACCTAGTACTGAACGTCCTGGCCAGAGCAATCAGGCAAGAAAAAGAAATAAGAGGGATCCAAACCGGAAAGGAAGAAGTAAAACTGTCACTATTTGCAAATAAAATGATTCTATTTATAGAATACCCTAAAGAACCCCCCAAAAAACTTTTAAAAATAATAAATGAATATAGTAAAGTTGCAGGATACAAAATCAACAAAAAAACTAATTGCATTTCTATACACTAACAACAAAGTAGCAGAAAGTGAAATTAAGACTACAAGTCCATTTACAATTGCAACAAAAAGAATAAATACCTAGGAATAAATTTAACCAAAGAGGCAAAAGACCTATATACTGAAAACTGTAAAGCACTGTTGAAAGAAATTGAAGAAGACAAAGAAATGGAAAGATATTCTGTGCTCTTGGATTGGAAGCATTAACATAGTTAAAATGTCCGTATTTCCTAAAGCAATCTATAGATTCAATGCAATCTCTATCAAAGTTCCAACATTTTTCACAGAAATAAAACAAAGAATCCTAAAATTTAGATGGAACAACAAAAGAACCCTGAATAGCCAAAGGATTCCTGAGAAAAAAGAACAAAGCTGGAGGTATCACATGCCCTGATTTCAAAATATACTACAAAGCCATAGTAATCAAAACAGCATGGTACTGGCACAAAAACAGACACACAGATCAATGGAACAGAATCGAGAGCCAGAAATAAACCCACACATCCATGGACAGCTAATTTTCGACAAGGGAGCCAAGAACATACAATACAGAAAGGAAAGTCTCTTCAATAAATGGTGTTGGGAAAATTGGACAGCCACATGCAAAAGAATGAAAGTAGACCATTATCTTACACCATGCACAAAAATTAACTCAAAATAGATTAAATACTTTAGTACAAGACCTGAAACCATAAAACCTCTAGAAGAAAGCATAGGCAGTATCCTCTTCAACATGGGTCTTAGCAGCATATTTTCAAGTACCATGTCTGACTGGGCAAGGGAAACAATAGAAAAAATAAATGAGATTACATCAAACTAAAAAATTTCTGCACAGCAAAGGAAACCATCAACAAAACAAAAAGACAATTGGGAAAAGACATTTGCTAACCATATATCAGATAAGGAGTTAATATCCAAAACATATAAAGAACTCATACGTTTCAACAAGGACAACAAAAAACAACCCAATTAAAAAATGAGCAAAAGATCTGAACAGACATTTTCCCAAAGAAGATATACAAATGGCCAACAGGCACATGAAAAGATGTTCAACATCACTAATTATTAGGGAAATACAAATCAAAACTACAATGAGATATATCACCTTATGCCCATCAGAATGGCTATAATTAACAAGACAAGAAATAAATGTTGAAGAGGATGTGAAGAAAAGGGAACTCTCATACACTGCTGGTTGGAATGTAATCTTCAACCACTATGGAAAACAGTGTGGAGATTCCCCCCAAAATTAAGAATAAAACTACCATATGATCCATCTATTCCACTGCTGGGTATTTATCCAAAGAACATGAAAACACAGATGCGTAAAGATTCATGCACCCATATGTTCATTGCAGCATTTTTCACAATAGCCAAGACATGGAAACAACCCACATGCCCATCAAGCGATGAATGGATAAAGAAGATGTGGTATGTATACACAATGGAATACTACTCAGCTCTAAAAAAAGATGAAATCTTGCCATTTGTGACAACATGGATGGACCTTGAGGATATTACGCTGAGTGAAATAAGTCAGATGGAGAAAATCAAATACTGTATTATCTCACTCATAAATAAAAGATAGAAACAACAGTGATAACCATAAACAAACACATAGATACAAAGATTAGACTGGTGGTTACCAGAGGGGAAGGAGGGAGGGAGGAGGGCGAAAGAGGAGACTGGGCACATGTGTATGGTGATGGATGGTAATTAGTGTTTGGGTGGTACATGATGTAGTCTACACGGAAATCGAAATATAATGATGTACACCCGAAATTTATATAATGTTATAAACCAATATGACCTCAATAATAAAAAAAAAGAAATGTAAAAAAAAAAAGATTGCTGACCCATGATTTATAAGTTTTTGAAAACCTTGTTTCTTCAAAGACAGTGAGTGACATTGTAGAATTCATCTCAAGACCTGTTGGACTAGATGTGGCAACCAAGAAAAGACCCACCTTACTCTATGTGTCACATGGTGAAATGGCATACCCTTGACGGATGTCAGTGTTGGGTCTTCTTAACTACTTATCCTCTCTGAATTGCATGCAAACAATGAGTTTCAGTCTAGCTGATTGTTATGCCTGAATTGAGCAGAGAAAACTCCAGGCCCATGTCATAGCTAAACTATGTAAATATGGTCTGAACTGAAGGGATATGCTCACATCCGCCATCTCTTGGCAAAATGGAATATCTGAATTTTGAGTATACTGAATTCAATTCAGCAAATGTATCTCCCTGCTTTGCCATGCAGCCTGCTGTCCTAGACACTTCAAGGGCTTAGAAAATGAGCCACATTCTCTGTCTGTAAACAGACGTTTGTGACATCACACATGTTACATGCTCACAGCAGCTTGCCCGTTTTCTGGCTTGAACTTTTATCACATCAAAAAGACCAATGCCTGGCCTTTTCTAGACAGATAAACAACTCTGTACCTGGAACAAAAAGACAAACCTACCAGCTCCATAGTTGCCTAACACTCCTCAGAGAGGAACCAAGTGGGCCCTGCCTGGATGCTAATGGCAAGTTTGGCTCTTGGGAGCTGAAACTAAAAGGGACAATGTATTGTGCTCACAGGTACTATACACAGGAGGAGCCTGAAGCTGACTATGAGCCAAGTCTGTAGAGAGCACCCAAAGTCAAGATTCCTTTAAGTCTCTCAGTCTTCAAAACCAAAGGTGAAGCGTGGAACTGGATCCGGATGACAAAGCAGAAAGGTAAGTGAGACTGACACTCGGCGGGGTTGGTAGGTGGGAGATAGGATGTAGAGAGAGGAGCAGAGGCGGGGGTCTGGGACATCCACCACAGACAGATCCTCTTTTATTTCCCAGAGGACTTGGGGCTACATGAGTCAGCCCAGTTTAAAAGTTCAATTCCAGGGCAGACGGCAGTAAACGAACAAAACTATTGTTCTTGCGTTTATATTGTACCTGAATTATTAAATTTTCCTAAGGCTAATTCCAGTGCTGTTGAAAACATAAAGAGGTGCTTTTTGTTTCATTACCTATAGCGTAGAAGCTACAGCACACATCATTTTTTAAAAAATCTTTCAGGCCACATAAACGAAAGCTGTAAAGCAAATATCTTCACCGAACAGCAAGAGAAAATAGTTGTTTCTGAAATGGAAAGTAGAAGCTAAGGTGGAACACTTCAGATTTCGAAATGACAAAGCAATTTTCAGATAAACGTTTTACAAAGCATTTTCCAGTAAAGTGACCTTCTGGGTCTCTGGTCAAAAACCATTAAGTCATTTTCTCACCCATTCCATGAAATGTTTTGAACTGAAGTCAGCTTATTAGAGCAAAATTTTTCAACCTTTGTTTTCAAAATGTTTCACATATTTTATCTGACATTTCTTCTCTAAGGGTCCATCTTTTAATCTGCTATTAACATTGAAACTAAAGTTTATAAGTTAAAAAATAACTGCAGTAGCTGGAATTAATGCAAATAACAGCTAAAGAAAAAAATCCCCAGTTATGAAAGGACTACAGAGACACTCGTTGTAACAAGTTGTTATTTGCATATGCATTCAACAAATATGAATTGGCACTTACTCTGTGCCAGGCACTGTTCAGGGCCCAGGAGAATAAGCAGGGGACAAAACCTGGAGGCAGACAGAGTAGGGGAGGTGGGAAATTAACAATACATATGTAATAATAGTAAATAGTATATGGTAATATATATAATAATGTAAGGTAGATAATTCTCTAATAACATAAAGTATTTAATAATGGTAAATGCAGGGAAGGAAAAATAAGGCAGCTAAGGGCAAGTGATGGAAGTGCCACTTTAGATGTGGCTCTTTGGAAAGTAAATCTAGAATCAGTATTGTATAATGGTTAAGGGCTAGAGATCTAGAGGCAAAGACACCTGGATTTTTTAATCCCAACTGGACAATTTATTAGCTTTGGGTTCGCAGGCAGGTTATTCTGTCTCCCTAAAATTGAGTGCCCTGATCTATAAAGTGGGGATAATAATGGAACATTCTTCAAAGGGCTGGTGTGAATGCTTAGCCCAATGCCTGGCACACGTCAATGCTCCATAAGTGTTCATTCTTATTATCTGAGATTTGAATCTGTGATTTGTTAAAAAATAAATAAATAAAGTAGGAGGCTGGGCCTGTGGCCTAGTGGTTAAGTTCAGTGTGCTCTGCTTCAGCTGCCCAGGCTAGGATCCCAGACCTGGACCTACACCACTCATCGGTGGCCATGCTGTGGCAGTGATGCACATACAAAATAGAGGAAAATTGGCAGACGTATTAGCTCAGGGCAAATCTTCCTGAGCAAAAAAAAAAAAAAAAGCATTTCTGCTGTGCATCTCTACTAAAATAAGGAAGCTTCTTTAGCCATCATAGCCCCATGATCACATCTACGGCTCTAACAAATAGACTTAGATTAGAAGCAAATTGCCCGGACCTCATCTTACATCCTGCTGCATGTCTCCAGTGGTCCGTGGACCCACAGTGTCTCTTATGAACTAATTTTCCTTGGGATGGTCCTAAGTCATTTTTACTGATGGTCTGTACTCTAGCAAAGTGAAGTGTTTAATTGTTTAACTGCCAGAGGTTATAGTAATCATTTTATTTTCCTATATCATTTCCACTATGTAGACATTTTTTCCTACCAATTTTCTAATCTATCTTCCAAGCCCTGTAATGCTACATCCTCCACCCAGTGGGGGTAATTATAATAAGACACAGAAAGAAAGGAACTGGCCTGCACGTAAAAAGACAACTCCACATATAACCGGAATTCCCAGACTGGATTCTTAGTAGCATTGCCGCGGGTAATAGATGTGACCTTTGTGGATTGCTGAAGCTTTTGTTTTTTTCCTGCTTTTACAGACAAGAACATCCAATAATGATGGCAAGTTGCAGCAGACACAGCCCCTGCCTGCACTCTGCCTGACCTCACCAGCACTTGGGCACCACATCACCCAGGAATACTACTCAGCTTGATTGCATACTCCTCAAACCCCTTTCCACATAACCTGGTCATTCAGATTACCTGGGGCATCATCAGAAAACTACTTTATCAGAGTAGTTCATGAGAGAGGTGAAGTGACTTGGGCAAGTCATAATTGGTGACAGAACTAGAACTAAAAATCAAATTCCCTAATTCCTAATTCTCCACATCCATCCTTTTTTTTTTGAGGAAGATTAGCCCTGAGCTAACTGCTGCCAATCCTCCTCTTTTTGCTGAGGAAGACTGGACCTGAGCTAACATCCGTGCCCATCTTCCTCCACTTTACTCGTGGGATGCCTACCACAGCATGGCCTGCCAAGTGGTGCCATGTCCGTACCCGGGATCCGAACCAATGAACCCTGGGCCACCGAAGCGGAATGTGCGCACCTAACCGCTGTGCCACCAGGCTGGCCCCCACATCCATCCATTTTACTCCCAGCTTCCCTGCTCTGAGTGAATATGACAAACTCATCCCATAAGATCAACAAGCAGGACCATGTTAACAGAGAAGGGGTTGATATTTGCGTAGCGTACAGATTTTTCTGCAAACTAGCCACAAATGCCATCAACACAGGCCATATCTAGCTGTAATTTTATTTAAATGTAGTTTACTTTCATAAAAAATTGTGTAGCAATACAAAATAGTAGTCTTAACATTTTGATCAATTTAGCAGATAATGGGATCATGGGTACTGAGTAGTATCACCACAGACTACAAGGAATCCTATAAAAATCAAGCTGTAGCAAAGAAATTGCAATGTGTCACTATGTTTTTGGTAATTGTATCATTCCAAAATAAACCACGCATGGGATGAGGTTTTATATAGAACCCATCTGGTGCTTGTATCCACAACGGCCTTTTTTAATATTCACTCACATTGGTGCGTAAATTGCTATACATCTGTATCTATCAAGAGAACACATTTTGAATTCCTGATGATCATTTCAATAGGGTAAACATATCCACGAGGCATCCATCATCACAAACAAAAGCAAACCAAGAATTCAAACTGCATGTGCCTCCACACACAGTTATTGACAAAATTCATTGTTAAATATTGCTTGAAAAATGTAGGTTAAAATGTTGCCATCTTTCCTCATTCCGAAATAATGAGTGGCCTTTATTCAAAAGCATACTTAAATAAGGATTGCCTTTATACCCAAGCAAGAGGAGCCCCTGGCCTGGGTCCTGTCCTTTAGGTGGTCCTGCATAACACAAACACAAACAGAAAAGTGAATGTAGTAAAGAACACTTGGGTGCCACTGTCGCTTACAATCCTTCAGTGTTATTACAGCACAGCCGGTCACGCCGAACACCTGTTCTGTAACTAACACCACTCAGGCCGCTGAGACACAATTATCCACACTCTTACCTTGTATTCTAGCAACAAAAGGCAACTGCGTGTGAGGGTTCTGGAGGTCTGTGGGCTGTGCCAATGCCAATGCTGGCAATGGACATCCCTTCAAAGAGAAGGAGAGTGTGAGAACAATGTGTTAGGTCAGAGAAAAGATGAATCTGTCTACTCCTTAGATCCTCCGCTCAGACAGTGTGGATACAACAGTCCTACACAACAAAGTACAGAGCATCCACTTCTAGGAATATATTGTAAATCAAAAATTCAGAATCTGACTTTTAAAAAAATGGGTTTTTTAAAATCAGAGCATCTATTATACTTTTAGAAAGGAACAATCTAGATTTCCAACAATAAAGCTATGGTTAAACATAAGTATACACCAATATGATGTAATATTGTGACCAAAATTTTTTTAATTACATTTTTAAGGACTATTTATTGACTTAGGATAATAGGGGGAAAAAAGCAGAACACAAAAAGCATGTTTTATGTGATCTCAAACTTTAAAAAGTATTTATATATTATCAAAAGGAAATTTATACATCTTTACTTGATATGAGTATCTTATTGAGTTAAGAAATAAGCTGTTTGAAAATAGGACAACTTCAAACCCCAACGTGGTATGGAGTTCAGAGGCGTGACATTTCAGGAGGGCTTATAAAGTGAAAATGAGGAGGTTGTTTAACCCTCACAATTATTGATTATTGCAATGGAGACTTCCAGATGGCAAGGGATTGGTTAAAAATGATTCTCTTATACCATTTTAGGAAAATGACTTTAGTTTCATTTGTGATTATGGGAGACATTTATAAGAATTAACCTAAGTTAATCACATGTTTATGAAATAAGCTAAACTAAGTTTTGCTTATGTAGCTTAAATGGTTTTGTCTTTTTGGCGGATCTTTATGTCTGGTTTCCATTTTTTCATTTTAACAACATGAAAGGAAATACATCAGAAATGCTCATACTAGATGTATGAGTTTGAATGAGTTGGGGTCAATTAATAGTACTCAGATAACAGCTACTTAAAGCAGAAGAATATCTACTGTCAATCTAACAAGAAGTCTTGAGGTAGGCTATAGTAGTATTTGTTCAACAGCTCAACTCATCATCAATGATCTAACTTCCTTCTAGTCTCCTATTATGTTGCTCTTAGCATGTTAGTTTTGGCCTTCAAATTGTTGCCTCATGATTGCAAAATGGCTGCTGCAGCTCTAAGCCTTATATACTTACAGGGACTGCATTCAAACAGGAAAGTAAAATGGATGTTAGCAAAAGAGGCTTTCCCTTAAAATGCAATCTTCTTTTCAGGAGACAAAATCTTGCCATAACCCTAAGACGTCTTCTGTATCTCACAGGCCAGAACTTGGTCACATGCTTAAACATGGGAAGAATAAT